CTTGGCTCCTCGGGGGCGGGGGAAGGGGCTGCTCCTTGGTGCCGGCCCTGTTGTCATGGCCTCCTCCAGGGGAGTCCTGGGTGTCACTCTTCTCCCTCTGCTGTCCCTGCCCACACGCAGGCTGCAGGAGTTCCAGAAGCTGGCCCAGTTAAGACAGGCAAGGTGCAGGTGTTTCCTGGTGGCTCTGCTCTGGCCAACGTGCTGCAGGGGCTTTGTGAGCAGCGGGAACTTGTACTGCTTGCTCTGCATCCTTCACCCCAAATCCACCCAAGCGCACCCACCGGGATGCCTCCTCACTCTTTACTGAGCCCAGGCAGGACAAAGCCAAGGAGCACGAGAGAGGCCGGGACTTCCTGCAGACGGACTTCCTGCAGCTCAGAGTGGAGGTGGGAGGCCATAGAAGGGGTCCCGGGGAAAACCCTCCTCCAAAAGCCCTCTGAGGAGTCTTCATTCCCAGCAGTGGCCTAGCTGGCCTGCACATCATTTGGGATCTCTTCCCTATGCCTTTGGTGCCATTTGCAAACTTGGGGAGCAAAAGGCCTGGGCAGTGGGCAGCGGAGAGTAGGCAGTGGGCAGTGGGCAGTGCTGACCACCTCCTGAGTACCTTGGCGTTGTGTGCTCAGTTTCACAGGATCCATCGGCTCCTCCCTCTACCCAGCCATGAATTGATCCTCTTTTTTTTTGATGCATTCAAAATAAACTACAGGCAAAGGCTCCCTTTGCCTCTTGAATCTGTTTTTACAATATGAAGCTTTCTCAGCACCACTCCAGAAATCCTGCGAGTGAAGACCAGCAATGAACCTGAGGGCGCCTTTACCATGAACCCAATCCCAGAGGGGAGACTAACAGCGCCTCTCTCCTCCCCCTCACCCCCCAGGCTGCCCTCCCCTTCCTAGCTCCTTTTCCTTTCCTCCTCCCCCTCCCCCTCCTCCAGCCTCCTGCCCCCTTCCTCCTCCCGCCCCAGCCCACCTCCGAGCCTCTGGACTCCACTGACCCTAGAGAAGGGAAATGGACAGGGCCACTTGTGGGGCTCTGTGAGTCCTGGGGGACCCTGTGCCTGCGCACCAAGGAGGCTGGGACCGGGAGCTCCGCCCAGCCGCCCCAGGCAATCCACCCTGTGTTTCTTCCTCTGTGAAAGGCGGATTGCATCCCTGACCACGGGTGCAGCCAGGGTGAAGGCGAGCAGAAAAGGGCCCCAAACGCTGGGGCTGTGGGGGACCCTGGCTGGAGACCTTGCGCTGAGAGCTGGGGACAGGATGCAGCAGTTGGGTGAATCTCAGACCTGGAGCTTCTGGGCTGCGAAGCCACACCCGCTGGGGACCCCGTGCCTTTTATCCGCCGGGGCTGGGGGCTGGCTGGTTGCTGTTCATTAGACCTGGGAAGGCTGGCGGGAGCCCTGGGTGGGGCCCGGAACTAGCCTTCTGGAATCCAATACCGCGGTGCCGGTCTGCCGCGCAGGGTCCTGGTCTCAGTGGCCCGCGAGAGGGCGCTCCAGGACCAGGGATCGGTCTTGCGGGCGGCGGTGGGGAGAACAGCGCCACGCACCATAGCCCGGCGCATTGGGCTGCACCTCCAGCAGGGTCTCGGGGCCACTGTGAACAGCTAGGAGACTACGTCTCTGTTGTAGTCAGGGTGTGTACACAGAGAACAATTCAGATCAGGACATGGAGTTTATAATATTTTTATAATAGTCACCGGAAGTTAACACGGGAAAATGCAGGGAATCTATGTGCAAAACCAAAGACATAGATTATTTAGTCAAGAGTCTAAACCCCACGGCAATGTCCCACATGGGTCCAGATAAAAACCCAGAGCTCAGGACAACGCCTCCCAGGAGTCCAACTGGAGGTCCAGAGCCCACAAGAAGGACTCATGCCAGTCTCTTTTACGGATCCATGCCGGGAAGACCCAAGAATCAGCTGTGGAAGCCAGAAAGTCTATGCCAGGGGGATGAAGGAGCTGTGCTAGTGGGATGAGGGTTTTACACTGGAGCCAAGAAGTCACACAACAAAGAGCAGGGCTGTCCTGAAAGTCACTACAGCTGTCCTCAGCGATACGGAGGCCCCGAGCTCCTCCGACGACAAACACAGTCGGGTACATGCCAGGAAGCAGCGTGACAAGGTCATCCTGGAGACCAGGCAGCACATGTCTTCCCCTCCGGAGCCAGGAAGCAATGCTTGATGTGAGGACCAAAGCTTCTCCAGGAGAACCAACATCTCAGACAGCAACTCGTGGGAGACCCACAATGCCTCCTTCACGCCTCAATCCCCCTCCACACCTCTCTTCTTCTCCACCTATTTATCCTGGCAACCCTCCTCAGGTGGAGCATCTTCTCTCAATGCATGCTGATGTAATCCAGCTGGCGTTAAGTTGACCACTAGTTATCAAACCATAACAGTCTCCAAGATCGAGTTCAGGCCCGCCAGACAGGTCTGGGCTCAGTCTCAGGTCTGGCTGGGTCCTTAGAGTCACCTGATAACAGATGGTGGGATGGAATATGTGTCAGCACACTAGGTGTGTCCGGTGGATGCCTCTGGGACATCCAAGTGGGCACCCTGCTGCCACAAAGGGACAAATACTCTCTTCTGGCCAGATGGGAGCACTCAGATGCTGGCGACGCTGAAGATGCATCTGGCTCAGGACAGCGGAGGCTTATTCATAGGGTAGTTAACTGACTTAGTAAGAAACACCCAACTGAATTGACTCAGTGTAGTTCTAAATGTGGCTGAAGACAGAAGTGCCACCCCAGGGCGCCTTGTCACCTGAATAGAGTAAAAGGGACACAAGTGAGGCTTGCCTCTGTTTCTTTGGAGGAGCCCCAGTCTCCACCTTGCCCTCGGAAAGCATCTCCCGGCTTCTAGCACAGACCTTTGGGTTTCCTATGAGGACTGGAATGGGAAGCTGCAGTGGGCTGGAGTGGCCTGGAGGCCTCGGACTGACAGCCCTCCTGCACACCCCACACCTCACTCTGCCAGCAGCAACTGTAAGCCGGTCTTGTGCATTCTTATAGATCTGTGTGTCTTGCACTTAAAGATCTGTGTCTCTAGTAAGCACTGACGGATACATGGTGAGGGCGCTCCTACCCTCCTCTGTCAAGCTGGGAGCTCCCCAAGCGCTGGAAGACCAGTGGCCTCAGGATCAGGCAGCAGAGAGGAGGAACAAGACTACTTGGGTGGCAGGCTTTTGGCAAGGCTGCTGTGTCCATGTTATTGTCATTGGTTATTTAGGGACCAAAAGAACAAACACAAGCCAACCCAGAGACCACAGGCACTGGTGAAACCCAGGTTTAGCAGGCACCCCCTCCTGGCCAGCGGAGGATATGGGGTCTTTTGACACACAACATCCCAGAGGTGTTGGTGGGAGGGGACAGTGACGTGGGCTGTGTTGAGAAGTGCCACCAGACAAGGTTGAGAGGGATTAGAAGCACCACTAGAAACTGGCTCTGTGCAGACACCTGAGAGGTAAAATCCCTCTCATCACATGCTGAGTTCTGCACCTCCCCCTGAGATCTCACTTTTCATCTCCAGAATGAACAGATTAAGGGTGGGTGCAATGAAATGCTTGTATTTCTAGAAGGAGACACAAACATACATTTATTTCCCTAGTTTGCTCTGGGGACTGGGACTGAAGGGACAGAAAGGCAAGGACTTTAGTTTGGGTTTTTGTGCTATGTTGTTTACCTCTATAAAGTTTGAAGCTTTTATGATAAAAGTGTATTCTCTTATAGTTATTAAAGGAAACCGAATCAAATAGTGCACAAAGGAAAAACCACTAATGATTTCAAAAAGATCTATTAGATAAGACCCTATTCACATAGCAAAAAACAAATTACGAATGTGTATCATGTGGGGGTGAATAGAAACACACATGTTATGGCTTGTGTCTAGATTCCCCCCAAAAGCCTCACACGCTCTTAGGTAGGGCTTTTTTTTCAGAGTTGGCTGGATTTAGAGTGTGTGACACAGAAATTGATTCATGGTGTCATGCTAGGGTCAAGGGCACAAGGATTAAGGGTGTGGGCGCTACCTGCCTAAGTAGACCAAATGAAATATAAGGGGCAGAAAGAGGCTTGTCTGGTCCCTTGCTTGCTTTGCTATCTTCTGCCTGCCTTGGATCCTTTCTCCTCTGTGATGCCCCTCTGCCATGCACCCTGCCGTGGAGCCAGCCAATTATGCACAAGAACCTTTACAAACTGTGAGCTAAGTAAACCTTTCCTCCTTTAATTTTGGATGTCAAGGTATTTTGTCCTAGCAATGAGAAAAGTAAACAAGACTCACAGAAGAGGGCATTCTTATAGATCTGTGTGTCTTGCACTTATAGATCTGTGTCTCTGGTGCATCAAGTAGTCAAGGAGGACTTTTAATGTTCCTGCTTAGCATGTCACCTATGTCTGTATTACATTACCTGCAAACGTTTCTCATGTCTCATTTTTCTTTCTTTTTTTAAAATTTTTGGTCTTTTTCGTCATTTTTATCGGTACCAGGGATCGAACTCACGACTGCCTGCTTGGAAAGCAGGCACTTATGCCACTGCGCTAAATCCTCAGCCCTCATGTCTCATTTTTATGCCAGGCATTCACATATGACTCATGAGGCTTTTCTTTCCTATCTATGTGCTTATGTACACTTATGTAATTTCCTAGAAGAATAAAACAAAAGACAAATATTTCTGCGGTGGTGTATGAGATTGCAGAGGTGTCTGCTAAGGGATGGGCCTGAGGCTGCAATCACTCTCCCAACCACAGCATCCTTCTTCATCAGGTGAAGCTGCTACCCTAGATGGTCTAAGGATTCATATAGACCCTGTGAGCCGTGAGAGAAGCCCAGAGCAGCTGTGGGGACCTCGGCAGAGAGGCAGGGCCCGCTTGGGGTCTGGATACCTCAGGCCACCGAGGCGACAAATACCAGTCATCCTGACAGATTGATGCATCTTTTAATGATCTGCCTTTACAATATGATGACTCTCTCTGCTTTAAAAATAAGATTAATTCAGGCAGGACATTCATTTTATGGGGAAATTTATTTCAAGGGAAAAACACTCATACACACTCAAACTGATGCTTCTGACTTCTGCCCTCTGCCACCCAGAGTGGCCCCAATGTGACTCCCTGCTCCTGTGCAGGGACAGGGCTATCCTCACCCATCCTGGTGTGTAAGCAAAGCCTGCTGGAGAAAAAAGAAGGAAGTGAGGAAACCCAGCATTGGGTTTTAGTATTACAGAAAACGAAGAGTTCCCAGTTTAGTAAAAAATAATTCATCTGGATATAGGTTTTTACACAGAGATCGAGCTTGTCCTTAAATAAAGATCCCTAAAAATAACAGGGGGAAATCAGTGAGTTACCTCTGTGTCCCCAGGGGCAGGAGCAGGACTAGGACTGGCCAGGTGCTGGGCAGTGCATCTTGCATGTTGCCACCCCCAGCACCCCTGCTTTTGTGGCTGCTGGCACCACATCCCCTCCCGCACCCCGCTTTCTTCCCAGCCAATCCCATAGCACTCCAAGTGCTTCTGTGACCCAGCCCCTCCCCACTGGCCCCTGGCTTGGTCCTTGAATGGGCAGCAGCCTGACCTCACACCTTGCACCATCCTCCACAGAGCACTTGATTAGGCTGGGGCTCTAGGGGCTGGGGGTTTAGCTCGCTGATACAAGCATCTGCCTGGCAAGTGCAGGATCCTGAGTGCGACTTCTGGTACAAAAAAAAAGTTCATTACCAACATATTGCCTGGTGTTACCACCTGGCCCTCGCCTGCCCCTCTCCATCTCCACCTTTGAGTTTTCCATTCCTTCCCTTAGTGTCACTGCCAGCTTCCTGCCTTTGCCCCCTTGCGAACCCACCCATGCCAGTCTGCCTGGGAAGCCTGCCCCATCCACCTGCCTGAATGCCACACTGCAGGTACCTGTGTCCACTGAGGAATGCATGGCCCGGTGATGTGGCCACCTAGCTACCTGGCTCTGAGCTCTCTGAGGGCAGCAGTCTTGTTTCCCTGTGTCACACCAGTGTGACCCCAGACCCCCATCTCCTTCCTGTTCCCACCTCTGCGGCTGCTCCTCTCCAGGGGTGGGAAGTTCCCCATCCCTGTGGTGCGCAGGAAGGCAGGATTGGTGTCATGAGGTGGGGGCTGAGCAGGCAGGTGCAACTAGGGGGCCCCAGAAAGGGCCCTGCCTTCCCCTCCAGACCCTGCAAGTGGCTTTTGTCATCCTGGAATTGAAGAACAGGGTGAATTTGAAGATCTAACTGGCAAAAGAATACACACACACACATCCCATATCCCAGACAGGGATGCTGGTGACAGTGCTGCTCTCATACAAATGAAGAGGTGGGCTCACGGTGCCTTGTTCCCCTGTGCCACCTCCTCTCCTCTTCCTCATTCTTCTCCTTCTTTCTTCTTGTAATTCAAAAGAGACGGATGACTTAGAAAGAGCAAATGAATCAGGAACAGGCAACGCAAAAGAGAAGAGTCATTCTGTCAACTTATTATTCGAACGCACTCTTGGGGACCTGCAGGGGCAGCAGCGCCATCCGTCACCAGGCAGAGCTCCAGGAGGGCAGGCAGGGGTGAGCAGGCGCTGTCTGGAGCCCAGCGCCTCTGCCAGGAGGGAGGCCACGGGGACCCTGAGAGGGGACAGTCAGGCCGAGGCCAGGGTTGGGGGATGCTCACTGTCCTCCCTTTCTGTGCAGACTGGAAACCCTGGGGTGCTTGCTCGGGGTCAGGTCAGAAGTAGACAAGAGACAGGTGGCCAGGGGAGCCCCGCTGACCAGTCCCCAGCCCTTGCTGCCCTGCAGAGACACAACAAGGGCTTCCTGATCCAGGCAGGGCCCAAGTGTCCCAGCCACAGCCCTGGGAATTCCTGTCTTATGAAGGAGACAGGGGGTGGGGGGAAGCTGCTCACAGCTCATCTCCATGATCCCTGGAGGCTGAGACTGTGAGTGACCTCGCTCCCCATTAGGGCAACTGCAATGCTGTGACTTAGCCAAATTTGTTGAATTTCTACAATTTTAGGTGCTAATATTCCACAGTGGACAGAAGAGCAGCATGTGGTTGTGCCCACCTATAATCCTGGCACCCAAGAAGCTGAGGCAGGAGGATAGCTGTGAGTTCCAGCCAGCCTGGGCTACATAGTGAGTTCAAAGCTAGCGTCAACTACACAGCCAGACCCTGTCTCAAAACAAAAGGAATGACAGAAGAATGAAAGTCCCTGTTCCGAGTTTCCTCATCTGTCAAACGGGCAGGGTGACAATAACCGTACTATGAGGCAAGGGAATGACACACATTCTGTGCATGAGGTGCTCTAAGGAAGCTCGGCGCATAGTTAGTTTCAGTAAGCTGTGGCCATCACCAGGTTACTGTCATCCTGATTTCCTGAGAAAACGAACCCAAGGAAGGTGGAAGAGGAGCACACACTGGAAGTCACACTTTTACCCACTTCTGGAAGTGAGAAGCGGGGAGTTTGCGTTCTGAGTATGTGGGGGGGGGGGAGAGAGACAGACAGACAGAGAGAGACAGAGAGAGAGAGAGAGAGAGGCTGTTCTGCTTTCTGAGTGTGACCACGTGTGTTCCATGGAGGCGTTGGTACTTGGCCCTGGATGGGAGAAGCACTAAGGCTCACAGTCCTCCTTCCTGCCTGTCAGCCTTGACAGATGACAATTCCGGGATAATGGGACTTGGGAATTTGCCAGGTGTGAGCCCTTAGAACGCAGCCAAGCCCCACCTTCCTCAGCCTCATGGTAAGCAAAGAACATTTGGGGGCCTCCTGGGTCCCCCCTCCCTGGGAAGACTCCCAGATAGGATGGGGTCAGCACAGGCTGCTTCCCGGATCAGGAAGGCAGCTGGAGCAAGGTGGGCACCCCCACCCCTCCGAGCTGAGTCCATCCACAGGCGCTGTTCCTTTCTTCCCGGATTACTGCTGAAACCTGCCTGTTTATAAACCTGAGCTGCAGGCCTCTGCTCTTTGGAAAACATGAAATGTTCTGGGGGATTTCAGCTTGGGTGGGGATGAGGTCACCTGGCCTCGGGCTGTGCTCCCATCCTCTGCTCCAAGCCCCTACATCAGCCCCACTCCTCTTCACCTCTACAGAACCCCTCTTTCCTTTATGTGCCCTACCAGCGTGGGGGCTGTGCTTCCTGGGCTCAGACCTAGGATACCAGAGCGAAAGGGAAACACACTCCAGAGTCAATGCAGGGTGGTGCCTGGGGGCAGGGAGCGGGAATCCAGTCAGGATGGGCCAAATGGCCCCAGATCCCTGGCTGGGACATTGAAGGGAGGCCTCTGTGTGCACAATGATCCTCCTGCCTCAGCCTCTCAAGTGCTGGAATTACAGTGTGTACCACCACGCTTTGTTCTAATGTCTGTCTTCAATTGTTTTCCTGTTGGTCTGACATTCCCAATAGTGCCTGACCACAGCCCCCTGTCACCTCCAGCCCCCTTGCAAACACAGTCCCGAATTGCGCTGGGTGACTAGGGGAGGAGGGCACCGAGACCAGGTTAACTAATCACACACACGATCCTGTGGCCATGTGTCCAGTTCCCCCGGCAATGGAGGGCCTGCAGGGGGACCCGGGAAGGGGAACAGGTGTGGCAGGGCAACCTTCTCTGGCCCTCACAGCAACCCCTGAGCATCCTGAGCTGTCCTATGACCAGGACACAGATGTCCCGGGTGATCAGCACAGGGACAATGGCTGTACCAAGCTAAACTGCATGGGCGTTCTTGCCCTAGGACAGCCCCAACCACCAGGCAGCAGTCCTGTGTGGACAGCCAGCCTGTCTGTGACACTTGGCCCTCTGTCACCAGGAGTCCCTTAGCTTTCAGTGAAACACGTCTCTAACTCAGCCACGGTGTAAAGTAGCGGTGTCTGCTAAGGGTGTGAGCGGGGCGTGCAAGGCGACATACAGAGGCTCGGCCCTCACACAGGAAGAGACCCTGGTGCGCTCCTCCTTAGCCTCTCTGTCCAGAGCTGTTGTCCGAGCCCTGCCGCCTCTGACTTGCACTTGCAACCCTGCTCCTCTAGGGGGCGGCGGGGTCACTCACGTCCTTCCGCGCCCCTGTTCTTTGCCATCGTCCTCCTCCTCCTGATGGGTCCTGGTAGAAGGGCTTCAACCCCCAACTCCCTCCCGCGCGGAACACCAGGAGGACAGAATCGCAGAGAAGGAACGTGAAAGTCACTCTCAGCCATATGGCTATAGCCTTGCGTCAACCCTGATGTGAGCCATTAACCTGCAAATTATCAGGAATTAGCTTTGATTTTCGCTGCCACCTCCTGCTCCTGCTTCTCACTCTGCATCAGGGCCCTGAGGGGCCCCAACACCCACCTTCCCCCTGCTGCTCTTGGGGGAGACTCAGGAGGACGCCCTGCCACAGCCCCTCCATCACACTCAGAGCTCCGTAGGGAGGGGTCCTTGCTGCCCCCCTAGCTTCAGGCCGGAACCTGACCTGAGAGCTCCCCTTGAAGCCCCGTTATTTTTTGTATCCAGCTACTATCAAACTTGGGCGTGTCCCTGTCTCCTCCAGTGACTGTCAGTAAATAGCTCCTTTGCACCGTTTCTGAGCACAGGGTGCAGGTGCTTAGAAACGTCAGGGCTCTTCCCTGCCTAGGCACCATCTTCTGCCCACCCAAGTTCCTGCTGGCTTTTCCTATGCCCTTCCTAGCAAGCCCGAGATTTAATCCATGTGACAACTCAAACGTGACTGTTTCCAGCGTCTGCTGCTGTGTGACACACACAATGCCAAAAGAAAATGGCTCAAGACAAAATTTTTGTTTTTGAATCCAGGTCACAACATGTTGTATAGCTGGTTTCTAAGTCCAGGTTCATTGGATCCTCCTGCCTCAGGCTCCCCAACGGCTGAGACTATAGCTGTCTCAGAGTGAGCAGATTTATGAGAGTCTGTTGGGCTGATCTTGCTGCATCTGATCTAGGCTAGACCATGGTCACCTGAGGCAGGACTGGGCTGGTGTGTCCAGGCTGAGCCTCTCCCATGGTGGAGCCATGGAGGGGGCTGAAAGGCTGGCTCAGCTGGGACATGGGACAGCTGGGCCTCCCTCCCTTTCTTCTACACTCTCCCATCTCTCCCGCACTGGGGTCCAAGGTGTCTCCTGCAGAGACCCAGCTTCCTGCAAATGGCCCAGGGGCCCAAACACAAAGGTCTAAATTTCTAGGGCCTCTTAACCCTCTTAATCCCACAACTGGCCACTATCACTTCCGCCACATTTTATTGGTTAAAAACAAAGGTATGGTTCACCAGGGATGACTCAGGACCTTCACTACCCCTTACTTGAATGGGTGCTGGAGACTGGTTTCCTCTAGTGCCAGGATATTTTTTTTTTGTGCCAGGATTTTACTAAAATGTATTTTTCAGACTGTTTTCTTCAAGTACAAGAAGAAAGCCCACATGTGTGCATGCACGTGTGCACCCACACACACACAGACACAACTGCCAGGGTCCTGCATCCCTACCTACAAAAATGACAAGGTCCCTAAGAAGGCGGGGGTGTTCCTGTGTTATGAAGCAGAGCTTAGATGCCCTCACTTTTAATGGCCTAGTTTTAAAAGGCGTCTTAAGTGAGTTATTGCATGTGGTCTTGATCTCCACTCCCATTTTGAAGATGAAGAAACTGAGCCTCGGAGATGTTCAGGAATTGCCCTACAGTGGTGAAGCCTACCCCAGAAAGAATTACTAGAAAACACTGTATATGTTTTTAGTCCAAATATGCTGAGACCCTGAAAGGTAAATTCCCCAGGATCCCTCAGCCAGGATTCCAATTAGCTAGGTGCAGTGGAGTGCACCTGTGAACCCAGCACTCAGGAGGCTGAGGCAGGAGGATCACTATGAATTCAGTGCCAGCCTGGGTTACATAGTGTGTTCAACTCTAAATTACATAGTGAGATCCTGTCTCAAAAATGAACAGAACAAAAGAAGGAAAGCCCAAGGCCCGGCACATAGGAAGTGTTTGCTGAACACAGCCCAGCTTTCCCTCCAGTCCGGCTTCTTTGCATAGCTCACTCCACGGTCCAAGGCGGCAGCCAGGATGGCAAAGCTGGCCTCACCCTGGGCGTGCTGATGATTCCTTTCTGAGCGCGTGGTGAAGTGTGATGTGTGGGCTTGGAAGGCCTGGGCCCCAGAGTCTGTGCCTCTTCTTCTCTGGTCTCACCAGCCCTCCTTTGGGTTTTGAGTAGCCTGTTCCTGGAAAGCAGAGGCAGGGAATAGATTGAAGCGTCAACTGCGTGTGGCCAATGGATATATTTTTAATGTGACTGAACCAGATGCACCTGCCTGGGGAGACACAGGCGAGCTGAGTCACCAGGGACTCGGATGCCCATCTGGGAAGGGAAAGACAGAGGGAACAGGAAAAGAGGGCAGAGGCAGGAGGAGAGGAGGCCAGGAGGAAGAGGCAGCAGGGAAAGCAGAGGGAGGAA